GTCGTAATGTTTTCGCAGTTCGTCCTATTCCCAGGACCTAAACTTAATGGAAAATATTTGGAATTGGATATTTTGCAAAGTTTGGTTGTTCTTTCCGGCGATTAAAGTGGTAAGCAGCGAGATATTCTTGATTTTTCAAAGGGCCTCTAGAATTTTCTTCCGGATAGGGATTTTTTCCATACAATGGACTTAAGGAGCGTTATATAGTAGAATTAAAATGGATTGTATGTTTTGATAAAACGTGGAATAAAATCCAAAGTAATAGAAGTGTTTTCTCCATTTTCACCACATTTCTTTGAAATTGATCATTCTTCAATATGAGATCAAAAAGATAGTTTTCTGATGACCAAAAATCCAGCTCAGATCTGAGGAAACAATGTGTACCTATTCAAGTGAAGCGTGGTGTATGTTATGCCGTTAATACGCACCGAAAACACATTTCGATGGCCCTGTGTAGAACTTCTTGTGAATCCCCTTATATTATGCAGTTAGTTTATTCCATACCGCCCCTTCCCCCATTTCGTGGACAACACCAATAACCAAATAACTGATTTGTTAAACAAAATAAAGGCAAAGAAAAGTCACAATACGACAACGTTCCTTTTTTAAACACACGATTACTAATAAACAAACCTATTCGTACATTCATCCATACATACAATTGCTCGCGAATAATCTATTCCAGCCCACTCGTGCACTAAAAAGCGTCTCTTGCTAACAACAAAGAAATCAACATTGCGCATCAACAACTGTACAAATACAACAACCGATTTGGTTAGCACTCAAATGCATTTGTAGTATAACCAGCAACAAAAACTCTTGAATTAGCCTTAGGTGTATGCTAGTATGTGCAGGTATGTATGTATGTATGGCAGGTGGTGAATCATACGAAGACGCGAAAAATTTTACTGACTCGGTAATGATTTCGTTCTGCTACGAATAGCCAACGATTGTGTGCGTGCACTTGCGAGAGATCTGCGTGCAGTTATGTGAATAAAAGTAGCAGCACGTTTCAAGCATTAAACGGTTCGAAGTTTTTCTTCTAGACAACATTTCCAAAGTACTTCTGTCCTGGATCTATTAAGCAGACTTGTAAGATCTGTATACCGTTTTGGACCCCAAAAGGTTCTAGCTTTCGGCAATTCATCAGTCTTATCATTGTAATCGATGTTGCTACTTCCGGAAACCGAGACAAGAGAGACAGTAGTTGATTGAGACGCTGAGTTCCAGTCCATTTTACATTTTTTAACCAGTGTAGATTTGGTAAATGGTATTACGAAGATGGGCCGCCTGGCTGTCAGAATATATTTTCGCTGTTTTTGCACCCGACTTTATTACCTACGATTTTACAAGCTTTAATGATTCCTACAACTTGCGCTTGGAAGATGCTTGTATCCGTTTCTAATCGTAGTAGTCCGGGCCTCTATATAGAGGTAGCCTCATTATCGGCCACTCGATTTCTTCTCCATTCTCATCTAGATAGAGATTGTCTACCATATAGTCTGCCGTCCTTCCTAATTTATTTATTTATTCATGTATTTACATACCATTAATGATCAACCCATGCCTGAAGTGTCTAGGCCTCAAAAAGCTACTAAAAACTCTCTCAGTTTAACGTCCGATTTCACATCCATTTATTTCAGTGTAATATGCTCTGTAGCCTTTCTGTCTACGAATTTCGACATTGAAGTTTGCTGTCCCGCGCAACTCCGAATATCTTGTCACCCAGCGTCTTTAGTTTGAATTGTAGTAATTTGTTTTTATTTGTAAATATGTAGAATAATTTCTGTTGCCTGGGTTTACATTTAGACCGCTTCTCGTAGTCCAAGCATGTGACCTATTTCTAGATATGTATGTATTTTCATATGGCTAGGTCGATTCTTTTTTTTAATAGTCGTATGGTCTTTTCGCATCTGAAACGAGATTTAAGCCTGTCCGTTTTTAAATGAAAAAATTATCCTTTCACAAAATTAATTATTTTTAACCTTTTCTTAAAATTTTTGCATTACAAAATGACTAACGTTTAGTTTATAAAATTTGTTTTTTTTTTTATTTATCCATAGTATTTTTTGCAAATAGTATATCTATATTGTAAAACTGATAGAATTAAAACTATAATATGACCGAGAAGCATATTTGATATTTATAAAAAAAGACTTGTATGGAATTTCTTTCAAGTTTGGTCTTCCATTCTAAACTCGTTGTGAAATATCCAAAACTTAACCGAGCGATCAGCTGTTAAAAGATACGACAAATATACTCCAGTGCTGTCGAAATAAGATGCGCTTAGCGAACAGTTCTCAAGAAAATTATAAAAAATCGCCTCAGAAACTTTAAATGCACTGAAATTCACTAATAATAATAATAATAATAATAATAGATTGGCGCTTACACATATGTTAGTTTTTGGCCGAGCTTCTCCTCCGACTTGTGGCGTGCACCTTGATATTGTCACACAAAGCGGAGGGACCTACAGTTTTACGCCGACTCCGAACGGCGATTGTATTTTTATGAGAAGCTGTTTTTCATGGCAGAAATACACGGAGGTTTGCCATTGCCTGCCGACGGACGACCGCTGTTAAGAAAAAACCTTTTTTCTGTAGAAAAAACCTTTTTCACTAATACTTTCACAAAAATCATTGTATCGCAACACCAACTGTGGCAAAGTTTGAAAGATCCAATAGTTTTTTCTGTGCAAACATTTAAGCGATTTCATATGTAAATGTATGTACATATGTATGTGGCCAGGCTTGACCATAAGTTTCTGCATATGACTTCAGATCAGGGACCGAATATAACAGTTAAATTTAATATTTATAGTTTCGTTCCTCAAATTTTCTGGATAAAACCTGTAAAACTGTCAGAAAGCAAAATTACTCTCAGAGAAAGAGAGAAAAACCAAAAAGTACGATAAAAACTGCCAAACCGACAGCTAAATTGGCGACCTGCTAAATTATACGCAAATATACCGTCAAATTAACAAAAATACTTACAAAACTTGATATATCTTCGCTACGATATATTTAATAAGGTAAAAATGCAGATGTACTTTTGTTTTGCTTATTCAACTTTCAAATCTTTGGAACAGCTGATGGGTTGACACTTTACAAGATTTGACCAGGTATATTTTCTTCGGGTAAAATCTTGCAACTTCTGACTAAGAGAGGACCGATTTTGCTCTCCCAGTTTTCCCCTACTTTTATTTTAAAAATTCATACAATAAAATATATAAAAATTCATACAATAAAATATATTTATAAATTCATACAATAAAATATATTTATAAATTCATACAATAAAATATAAATACAAGACTCGTGGCACTGGTTTCGAGGCCTTCGGCCAAGGGACAGAGAACCGAGTACGGGAACGCTTTCTGCAACTCCTTGCATGTTAGGGAACGCAGCTTATTTTATTATCTTTTCGTTCAAATTTAATCGTTGTTTCGTGATTTATTTTTTCCCGATCTAAATCTTTTGTGATCTAAAATATATAATCTGCAAATAACGGTTAAAATATGATAAAAAGATATATATATATATTTATATATACATATATTAAAAAACTTTCCAATGATCTAAAAATAAAAATCTTGATATTTAACACTTATTTTCGGCCCCTGTATGCCGCTTGGTTCGCCCACACTGGCAACAAATAAAAAAAAAATAAATTTGGTATGACATGAAGCTGCTATTTTTCTAAACCCAACTGTATGGCAAAACGCATATTACTAACAAAAGACCAGCGCAACAAACGCAATAACTGCTGCAGAGCCAAACACGTAAACGATTGTTAACCATTCAAAGTATTCTGATTAAGCAAACGGAACAGTTCGAGTGTTACAGTGGCGGTAGCAGCAAATAAAGTAATACAAAAAAAAAAAACTAAATAAGTATGTGCATACTTATAGTAATGTATATACGTATAAAAATATGATTGTATGTTTAATATTTCAAATTTGAATTTGTTTAGTGCTGAGTAGGTATACATTTTTTGTCTACTTTATGTGTGGCCAAACATTGGGTAATAAATAATCACAACAACTATACATAGCAATATTAACTGTGTTAAATACATATGTGCTCAATGCAAACAGAGAAAGATAATGCAAAAATAAGTCACAAAGGTAAACGTGAATATGTATTAAAAGGCAGTACAAAAAAAAAAAACAAAAAAAACAACTTCAGTATGAGTGCGTGAGGTGGACTTGAATGCGTTGTTTGCCCCTTAAAAAAAGGGTTTGCATCTTTCGAAATGAAAAAAATAAAAATAAAAAATTGGCTTTCCATCAGCTCTGAAAGAGTCAAGTGAAATACAGAAAAAGCTACTTGCTCTACGGTACATAATATGTATATCATATAATCAAAAAAAGTGTAAATGTGTGGAAAAGTGTTCCAAAAGTCAGCGACAAACAAACCACTCTACGAAAAATATTTGCGAAATGTGCAAAAGTTATACATAAGTGCTTTAAAAATCTAAACTACATAGTACATACATACATATGTCTGTATGTATATGTAGGTATGAATTTATGTGTGCATACACAACTCACCAGAAAAAAAAAGTCATTTTCCTTTTCTTCAACGACGTCAATTTGTATTTCTTAGGTTTTACTTTGTGTTTGCATTTAATTTATTTACATATTTCTTCTCTCTATTTGGTCTATAAAAAGACACCATTCCATTGTTTGGGCCACACTTTTATTATTTCTTATCTAAGTGAAAGTACGTTGGCCAAGTTCAAGGATACGCACGTAGAGCGCGCGATAGAACAACAACAGTGGCAATAGCAACAGCGGCAGCAACTAAAAAAAAAAAAAAAACAAAACAACAAAAACGAATAAGTGCACATTGGTGAAAGATTTTCTCACCATAACGAAAGCAACAACAACAAATAGCAAATACATTAACTTCATTACTGAACGCAACAAGAGCGCACTTGGAATTTTCACCGGACAGTGAACCAAAAACAACCTAAAATCAATTTTCACCCTCCCCCAGCCACCTACATATGTACGTCAGCACCGACAACCCCTTGAAAATACAGAGTTGAAAACAACAACACTTAAGTGCATATACACTTACAAAAATTTGTTGCTTTTGTATACATATGTACGTTTGTTAAAACTGTTTGCGAATTTAGCTCGCGTCAAATAACTGTGCTTTTTTAATACATACTTAGTATTATGTAGTAGTCAGCCTTCTCGGTTGATTGTGTGTGCGCGCGCGTTTGTTTTGCATTGCCCACGTGGGCGGGAGGCCAAACAATACTTAACACAGGATCATTCAACTTACACATTACACAGCAGCAGCAGCAGCAGCAGCAGTAAAAAAATAAACACATTTTCAACAAGTAGATATTTTATTCCTTTGGAGGAATTAACTCACACAAACAACGCACACACACTCTTTCGCATTTCCAACCCCGCCCAAGAGTGCCGTCATTGCCACCGGTGCAGTTGGCAATCAGCCGTCTTCGCTTTGCAAACAAAACAAAAAAAAACAACAAACTTAAACACTGTTGGAGGTCAGCTGCTGCGGAGGAGCAAGTAAATTGCGTCGCAAAATTTTCTCTCACCCGATCGCTGAGACGTTGCACATATATAGAAAACGCGAAAAAAGCCCGAAAAAGGTGAGTGAACGACATGTCTCTGTAGAATGTCTGTAACTGCGAATTTAGCAGTGTAGTCATTTACATTAGGGTGCAACACT